AGTACCGATTGTCACACCGGGTGTCACACCAAGTGACTCACTCGATTATCACATCAGGTTTATTTCTGGTTGTGAAGTGTATATTGAATTATTATTATGAACCCTGCGTCCTGCGTACTCGTTGGTTATGAAACACTGTAAACTGGTTGGCGCTCTTCTTCTCAGAACGCTAATATTTTGGCGTCATAAGATGCCAACCAGTTTACAACGATTTATTCCGATTTATTTTAGTTTTGAAAAGGCAATAATGCAGGATTTTTTTTATTCGCGAGGATGCACTTGACAGATTGGCATCGAACCGAACAACAACTAATGACTACTGTCGGACTATTTTACAACGTACTCTACAATACCATGTAAAGTGGAGGACAGGAAGTAAACTATTTTCTTGTCATACACACACTTTTAAGGAATTGGCCGAGCAGTCCCATTGTCTCTTAGAGTGCGCCAAAAATATGAAACTAACATACAAATAGAGTCCGAGGTGAAAATGGACGTCCAAAAGGGGGAGGAGGGGTCTTCGAAAACGGACAGCGGTGGACAGGGGGTAGGGTGGTGTTTTGGGGGCGACAAACAGCGGACGTACTTCATGGATGATCCCTTACAATGAGACATATACCTGTGTGTTCAGGCGTGATAGAATGAGTGAAAAAGTTACCGTGACCATGACCCAATTAAGAACTAACAAAAACAAAACGAACAACCACGCTGAGAATAAAAAGAGAAAAAAAACATCAAGTTTTCGCCCAAGGGGAGAAAATATTCATTCGTTGTGAATTGTGAGGAGGTCTGGTCTCGCCATGCCCGGCACGTTCGTCCGCTCCGCTCCACTCTCGTTGAAGAGGCCGCGGGGCGGGGCACCCGCGAGTAGCTGGCCGTGAAAAAAGTACCCCATGCCCACCAGGGTGTCGGGTGCCTTACCCAAACGGCCCAATCCACCCAATCCTGTCGAGATTATACCACTATAGAAAGCCCAACGTTAACATTCAAGTTTAAAATAACATTCCAAAT